TCTAGAAAAAGGGTGGATATTATTATTACAGGTGTTTTTTATATATATACCCTAGTTCTTCAGTACTAAGATGCAGTTTTCCTATATAAACAGCTTGCATCTTAGAATCAAGGAGATGAATCAATATCTGTTTTCTGTTGGTGGCAATGAAATTAGGATGCATCTTATAATTCATACTCTCTTAGATCAAAGAAATATGATATAAATAAAACGTTTTCTGTTGGTAGTACTGAGTGTGTCTTGGAAATTATGAAATCTGGTATTACAGCAGTGGTTTTGCTGAGGGTTTGTCTTTCTATTTACATTGTCCTACTATGATTGTCTTTCAGTTTACCTGATCCTAGGCCATCATTGCAAGATAATATCACCACCTGCACAGTGTGGGAGAATGTCTGTCCAGGTAAGTGGTTTTTTGTATAAGAGGCTAGTCAAGGATTTCTCCTGATATCCCAAGAACATGGTTGGAAATTGTCTCAGTGCTTCGTCAGGGAACAAAAAACAGCATTTTTGAGAAGCCCGTTCCTGTGACCAGGCAACCATGAGAGAACCCAGATGGCTAAAGGGAAGTGCGAGGATGAAGAAGAAGAGCAATTGAATGAAGGGACTAACAGAGATAATGGAGTATGAAAGAAAGGACTGGAATTAGAAAATGTAGATATACATTCATTCTTTCTCCAGTGGACCTCTTAATATCTTACATTTTGAAAGAGGTATAAAAAGTGTCAACCAAAATGATTCAGGGAAAGACGCAATCCCTTAGGAAAGGTTATTCTCTCTCGGGCTGGCAGCTTAGAATTAAAGCTGAGGAAGAGGAGACATGATGGATGTAAATATATGCACAACATGGCAAAAATAAATACAGTAGATGCTATCTTCCCTCTCAGAATATAGTACTAAATCTCATCAATGGAACCCAAATGGCAACAGACACAGGCCAGATAAAAGGAAGTATTTTCTTTGCACCGTGGCCTACTCACTGATATAAAACATAGTAATAGCTTATAGTTTGGATGGGTTTTATAAAAGGATTGGAGGTTAGGATCCTCAATGGCTATCAGTTAGGAAGGTTAGATATTACCTCCATTAACAGAGGCATGAGTCTCTCAATGCCTATTAGTGGATAACAAATGCCGTTGGGCAAAAGGTGATGATGCACGTGTCCTGCTAGTGCCAGCTGGTTGTCTGTTATGTGAACAGAACATTGGGCTAGATTTGCTTGTGCTTTGATCCAGCAACATGGTTTTTCTCATGTTCTTCTTTTCTTAGGTGATGAAGAAGAGGAGTCTTGGAAGTGCTAAGTGCCCACGGAAGATTTTTTGCTGCTCACTTCGGGCCTTGGCTATGCCAGGTCACCAGTACCAGGCTCTGCCTAGCACCTTTCTTGGTGACTATGATTCTACTACTCGCTATTCCAGTATCAGGACTACCAAGATGTCTCACACAGTGAGTGAGAGTAGCACGATGCACCAGGAGCTTCCAGCCCCTGTCCATAATATTGGCCTACCTCACTGGTCTACCTTTGCTCTTGTCTCAATACGTGGTTGTCATTAGTGTCTGACCTTCTCCTCTGCTGCCCTTCCCAATTATAATATGTTACCCTGGAGCCTGCTGCCAAGATCCATTGGGCACATCGCCTGCTGTAGCAATACAGCTCAGCCCTAATCTAGGGCCAGAGGTTGGTGCCACAGTTGAGCTTGCAAAGCTATACTAATCCCCTGGCATCTCCTATGCCCTCAAAGATTCATTTGCCACCTGTTGAACTTAAAGCCTGCCAACAGTAACAGATGGGCAAGGTCAACCTTTGACACTCAACAGCCCTTCCTCATGCTGTGGCTGCGGAAGTCTTAAACTTGGTGGTCAAGCCTGCTTCCCAATCTATCTCCCTTTTCTTTCCTCCAGTTCTTGTCTGTAAATTAGGTGGGCCACTATGGCCCTCTACATGTTTGAATGACAACTCATATCAACCCTAGCCAGTATAGCCAGTGGAGAAGGAACTTGGGAGTTATGGTGTACCAATATATGTTGCCCCCACCTCTTCTGCAAATAGTGGGCTGTTAACAAATTTCTCAACTACAAGGGTTGGAACTTTAATAGTGGCAACACTGCTGTAAAGATGCCATGCAACAAAACCAAAGAATGTCGCATATACCACACATTAATCACATACCCACCTTGCCTCTGAGCAAAAAGACTCACCCTTCCTATGTCACGCGCATGCAGAGTGACGCAAAGAACTGAGCCTCGTATTAGCTTGCGGTCTAAAGTAAGTGTTGTGACGATGTTTTTGAAATAAGAACAATGGAGTTGGATAAGGATGGAATGTGCCAGAGGTTGTACAGCATGGCAGTGTCATCATGGTCTTCAAGAGGCTTGCAGGGAATCTGCATTGCCTTACAGAACAGTGGAAAGGTGGGTAAAAAGTCTTCAATGAAGGATGCCAAAATGTAGCAGAAATGCATCAGCCAGATCATCCTAGTGTCAGCGAAGTGGAAGTGAATGTTGTTGCTGCACTAATAGACAGTGATCGACACCATACGATTCGTGAGCTGGCCCGAAACACAGGATTTGCGCATATGACTGTGCTCCACATTCTGAAGGAACGCCTGGACATGAGAAAAATTGCTTCACAATGGGTTCCACATCATTTGACAGAAATATGGAAATGGCTACAATACGATGCTGCTCGTACCCACTTGGAGCACTATGAGCGTGAAGGAGAGGCTTGCTTACACCGTATCATTATGCTGGATGCGACTTGCGTCAGATCGTACCAGCCAGAACTGAAATGCCAATCGAATGAATGGCATCATTATGGGTCACCATGAAGTTCGAAATTTCGTCAGAACCCCAGCAATGTGAAAGTTATGGTGATTCTTGTGTACAACTGTGATGGGGTCATCCTAATGCATACCGTTCCCCCACATTATTTTTGGAACACCATGTCAGTCCAGCTTTGAGAAAAAAAACAGTGACACTTTCTGTAGAACGCCCCTATCATTTTGCACGACAATGCTCGGCCACTTGCAGTGCAAGCTGTGGCTGATTTGCTCAATCGATGGGGCTGGGAAGTGCTGTACCATCCACCATACTCCCCAAACTTAAGCCCTTGTGACTTTGACTTATGGATAGTTCCTAAGATGAAGGAACCACTTCATGGCATTCGCTTCAGAACTGTTCCAGAGATTCTTGTGGCAGTAGACCGCTCCATTTGAACTATTAACAGAACAGGCGCTGCAACAGGTGTCTTACGACTTCCACATTGTTGGAAACAGGTTGTACACAATACTGGCAACTATACTGAAGGACTGTAAAAATTGGTGGCATGTATCACTTTTGTATTATATGTAAATAGTTGCCACTATTAAAGTTCCAACCCTCATAATAATGTCCATCTTTTCTCATAATCACTGTAACAACTAGTAAGAGTTGTTGTTAACAATCCCTACTTTAATTGCTGCACAATCAAAGGTTCTCCAGGTGCTTTTTAAACCATATGATTTCTATATGTCAGTGGAGTGAGGAACATTTGATGCTCCAGATGTTTTTAATTTCACGTCTCAGAAAAAACTCAATCAGCATGACAATTGATGGGGTTATGAGTTGTGTAGGGAGGACAAAGATTTCCCATTCCTAAGATAACATCTAGAACAGTGGTTCTCAACCTTGGGTCCCCAAATGTTTTGGCCTTTAACTCCCATAAATCCTGGCTGGTACACTGACTGGGAGTTCTGGGAGTTGTAAGCCAAAACATTTGGGGACCCACAGGTTGAGAACCACCGATCTAGAAGGTGTCTATCCAGTACTTCTGATGCTTGCTGTAAAACATATTCATTCTACACTTGATTTTAAATCTTGGGTATACTTTGTTGTGCATCAGTTAAAACTACAAAAAATTGTTTAAAAAAACATGTTTTGAAAGTGTTTGTGGAGAAAAATTAGCATGTATTAGTCAAGGATGCTCTGTGAAACCAGCAAAAGTTGTTGGTAGGGAACTGTTTACAGTAAGTTTAGGTAACTATGGGTCTCTAGAAGTTGATTAATTTTACCTCCTATGTTCTCTCACCGCTGGCTATGTAGACTGAATCTGATGCAATTCAAACATCTGGAAGGCCATAGCTGCTGTAATATAGATAACAGCATATTTCTGGCGAGCCTAAGCTTGGAGGTAGCATCTCACCTGCTTCAACAAAAGAGCTGAGAGGCTCCTTCAGAGCCACAATTGGCCATTTCTGGCTGATTTGAGAGCCAGAGCTGAGGCAGCAACTAGATCCAAGTGTGAAGAGTGCAGTAGAGAAGTGGGGAATCTCTGGCCCTCCAGATATTTTACAGTGCCAGGCCTTAGTCATCCAAGTCTACAACAAAGAGTTTTGGGGGGTTGATGTCAAAAAAGCCAAAAGTTCCCCACCCAAGGTACGTTGTTTGTAGTGTAATAGCCAACTTGCAATGGAGGATGGTGATCTTCCAAACCCATGGGACATTTGATCATTGCTGGATTAGGACAAGGAAACAAATGCTACATAATCCTTTTAGGAAGAGGACAGATCCAAAGAATGCCTATATACAACAGGGAAAGATGAAATGTGTTTCTCCATATGTTGTTGAAATACAGTTCCTAGCATCCCCCAGCATTATTATGTTTCTTAGGGCCACAGGGAGTTTCAATTCAATGATATATGGAGTGCCACACTGTGTCTATGTACAAGTAAACTTGGGGGGGGGGGAGTCCACTTCCCCTGCAGTACTCCTGCAGTACCACCTCTGTACATACACACGAACAGACACACACATGTGATAAATGCCTGGCACGCATACACATACATGCACACATACCCACTAATGAAGTGTGTGTTGGCTCTTCTGATACAATTATCCGGGATAATCTTTATGCAGATTATGGGGATCCAATGGACAGAGCAGATTGGACGCCTGTGTTTATTAAAATATGAATTTTGATCCCTGTGCGGAGACTGAGGCTGTGCGGGGGAGGGGTGGCACTGAGCCGGAGAAGGGGGAGCGCACGCTTAGTGTCGTAGCAAGTCTGTATAAATCACTAAGAGCAGCATCAGGGCATCAGGGCTGTCATAGTAGCCAGAGGGCGTGCAAAGTGCACAGCTCTGAGAGAGGTCCTGGGCAACCCACTTGAGGGGGATAAACTGCTTTGTCACTGGGGCAAGGCGAAGGGACCGATTCTGAGCAGTGTGAGTACCAAAAAAGCATCTCACAATGACAACGGTGGAAGCCAAAGCTGAAGAGGAGGAGAAAAAAGAGCCCGATTCAGAGCCTGCACCTGCTCCAGTTTCAGAAGGCGCTCCTCCAGAGGCGGCACCAGTTGCAGCTTCAGAAGCAGCACCAGATGCACCAGCTTCTAACCCATCTAGCGGGGTAAGACTGGTTCAAGGGGGCAAGACGTGAGGGAACCTTAGTGCGGGGCTTCCAGTTTGAATGGCTCTAGAGCTTCCACTGTTGTGCCGTTGGGGCTGGTATCTTCAGTATCCATCACTTTTGGGCCTCATATCCACAAGAGTAAGGAAAGTAGAGGTCAGGAAGGATAAGAAAATCCATTAGATTAAGAGAATATTAGTGGTATTTCCTATAATTCTGAGACAGGATTGGTTGCGAGGTAGAATTCAAAAGGCTGGGAGATATATGGAAGCAAGTGGATGCAAAAGGTTGGAAGTTATATGGAAAGAGGTGATACCTAAGATTGCTGTAGTGTATACCTCTTGATAGGAAAATCCGTCATCACTCTCATGGGTCCTCTTCTGCCACCTCTCTTCTGGACTTTTTATTTAGCATTCTGGTATCACCTTCTGGCATTTATTTAATTTTCAATGCCTGTTCTGCTCTGTCTGTTTCTTCATTGCTTAGCAAGAGCTTCCTTTACTACTGGACAGAGTAAGTTGGATGCCACATAGGGTGGATTTGGAATGTCTTGAAAGAGGAACAAATCATTCCGTGTTTATTATTACTGTACTTGTGCTCTCACTGAGAAAGACTTCTAAAGTTTTACACCACAAGAACCAAAATTACTTGGTCAGCTTTGAGATACTACGAAGCTTATTTTTTTACAGCTGGAATGAGGGCACATTTACCATTTCAAAGTGTCTTGGGCTGCCTGGGTGGCTCCAACGTTCCTACCATATTATGTGGAGTATTTTCAGTATGTTATGTTCATTAATACATCAGCAGCATCTATTGGTCAGTAATAGAGTTGCCAAATCAAAAACTTAATTGCCTCTGATACCTTCAAAAGTTATGTGGAAGAGGAAATTTCATCAGGAGTTGGAAGTCATGGAACAAGAGAAGAACCAACAGCTGCTGAAAATCCCTTTTCTGCACAACAACCAAAAGTTGAAGAACCTTTTCCGGTTTTCTCTCTAGCAGCCCTAATGCATTTGTTTCATTAATGTCCATATCTTCTTGTGTGACACTAACAGACTTATTCATGCATGTTTTCAGAGACATCGCCTTGATGAACTGAGGCATTCATTTTAAATATTTCAAAAATTATACATTAATTAGCTACTAAGCAAATACGGAAAACACCATCCTATTCCTTTATGTCCTTCGGAAATTAATTAATGCTTGTCCTTTGCTCCAGCCATCTTTTCTCAATTGTTTTAGGATTAGAAAATAAGCAAACCTGATATTGAGAAACTAAATAAAGATTCTTTGGTAAGAACATTTCAGTTCATAGAAGAATGGGAACCATTTGTATAATTTATGAGGAAAAAAGAAAATGCAATAATCTTTTGAAGATTTCATAAAATATTGGGATAGTGTGGAAGAATATATTGCTTAAGATAGGAAGTTAGCCAAATGATAGTAATATGCGTGTTTTTAAGTTGGAAGGTGAGAAATCCATTTTAACTTTTTATTTTATGATTATTGTGTTTAGGTGGAGGAGGGTTGGGGAAAATTAGTTTTAATGGATGCATTGGTGGTATAAGTGATGTACTAGAAAATTATTGTATAATGATACTTACATTGCTGAAAAAATTTAATAAATATTTAGATAAAGAAGAACATTTTAAATAAAGTAAGTTACTTAAAGAACAAACATCAGGTTAGGACACTTGAGACAAATATTAAATAGCTGCCCTTTTCCATCAAAAGAGGAATAGCCAAAGGTTGTCAGCATCTGTTGCCTGAGACAGTTGCCTCAATCTGCCTAATGGGAAGGGGTGGCCCTACATGCCACCGCTGGATATTGTGTGTAACTTTGCAGATAAGTCATTCAGCTATCTGCATCCAAAAGCTTTGTGTTTATTAGGCTTGGATTCCCTATCACTGCCTTTCCTTCTCTGCAGCAGCAGCAGACTAAACCACACTGACTACTAGCCTTGCCCAGAGGAGATTAATGCCTTAAATCTAGACGCTTCCTGGCTTCCCTCCATCCTGAGGGACATCCCTCCCTCTCTCCCTCCTTCCCTCCCAAGTTCTATCACTTCCTCCCCACAAACTGCAATCCTTTCTGCAAATGTTTATCAGAGTCAATTCTGAGTTTCTGATTTCCAATAGAGGTGTTTTCAATTTCAACAGAAGTGTTCTTCAATTCAGCCTCAGTAAAATACAGACGCACATCTCAGGATTTACAATGAATTCTCCTTTATCTGCTCTATCATTGCTTCTTGATTTACCTGATGTGGGGATTAGCAGTTTTTCCTTCCAATGTCTGCCAGGGATTGGTACCATACTTGTACCTATAGGCTGCAAATGCTTTCTTTCCTGGAAACTCTCCAAGGTCTGGCAGCTGATGGCTCATGAACCATCTCTTTGAGTAGCACTATGGAGCCCCCAGTGGCGTAATGGGTTAAACCCTTGTGCCTGCAGGACTGCTGACCTGAGGGTTGGGTCACTGACTTGAAAGTTGCCGGTTCGAATCTGGGGAGAGCATGGATGAGGTCCCTCTGTCAGCTCCATCTCCTCGTATAGGGACATAATAGAAGCCTCCCACAAGGATGGTAAAACATCAAAACACCCGGACATCCCCTGGGCAACATCCTCACAGATGGCCAATTCTCTCACACCAGAAGAAATTTGCAGTTTCTCAAGTCGCTCCTAACATGAAAAAGTAGCACTATGCTACTTAATTCCTAGGCTAAAATTTAACTTTACATATATATTTTCTGCTCAAGATGAAAGCATGACTGGGAGGGAATTTAGTTATGAAAATGTTGCCATGATATATTTTTAATGGACTACTTTAGCACTGTGCCCAATATGTTGTTGCTTTACATGCCAAATTCCCCCATGTAATTCTGGGGAAAGCCCACAAGAAACCCTGGGGAAATTTTGCCAACCAGATCCAGTGAGGACAGCTTCTTTAACCCTCCATCATGATTTGATTATCATATATTGATTCCCACCCCTCTTGTCTCTTCTACAACCTTTTCTCTCCTTCCATTTTTATGGAATATGATCTCATTGTATAATACCCAAAGCTCTCTTTTCCCAGACTCTGTCCCATTAGTATCCCAAATACACCCCTTCATGTTTCTCTTTTTTTACTCAGCTATTTGTTCACATACTTTTCTCAAATTGACTGCAGGAATTTACAGAGTGTGTGGAAGTTAAGATCTGGAAAGGACCAAGGATATTTGAGCTTCAGAGTAGAAATATTTCTTACTGTATTCGTGTATATGAAGGATATGTAACTTGCTTCTCAAAAAGGCCCCTGCCGTGGGTTACATACATATACACATAATCATCACACACAAAAATGGGAAAGGCTGGAGAAACAATTTGTGGAGAGTGCAAACTGAGGCATTAGGTTTTAATGTGAAATGGCTGGTGATGTTGTGGGCATATTTCAGCCTTTAATGGTAGTGTTTTGTCATGTTGGGACTGACAAGGGAGGAGGACCAAATCGCTTGGCCAGAGGGGCAAGGCTAGCCATTACTTCTACTAGACAGGCTCCTCTCTTGCATATGTGATACTTCTGGTTCAGAAAAACAACCTGATTGCTTGTATAGATAGGCCTGTTTAAAAACTAAATTCTGGTGATCAAAATCAGCTAGATATACCTGCAAGTTATTTTGCCATTTTGTTTAGTCACTAAAACAAATGCCCCTTCCTAATGTTGCCAAGTCAACTGTACCTCTTGTTGGAGCAGAATCTGCTGATCTAGTGCCCTCTGACTTTGAATCTTATCTATTGGCTTATCTTTGCCAAGATAATCTTCCTCCGCACTCGTCTGTGAACTGGTAAATACTTTAATACTTCTGCAGCATACATTGCAGTCAGAGACTAGCCAAATTATTCTGGAGAACTAGGAAAAAACATGGTGATAATGTTTGTTTCTTAAGTGCAGGAAGTATAAAGGTTTTTACTAAGATGGCAATAAAGACACACAGGTTCAGTGCTTTCTTGAATCCTGCGCTTTCCTCCCAAAGCTTGGAAGAGCAGATGGGAAGAGGATCGCAACTACTTTAAAGTGGAGAGCTGAGAATATTATACTGGTATCAGGAAATCTTCAGTATTTGTGGTAATGGTTTATAAAAAGCAATGGTGGGTAATCTCCGCATGCTTGTATAAAAACACTTAATTCCTGTGTCTACCTGTTTATATAAGTGAGCAATACAATTTTTATATATATATATATATATATATATATATATATATATATATATACACTACAATGTTGAAATGGAGACATATTAAAAAAGCTCTCCTAATATGAAAGCCAAATTGTAATAAGCTTTTAATTAATAAAAGAAAAGAGAGCTGTGAAGCTAGCTATAAGCAGATACAGGTATGTTGTTATCAATCCTAAAAATAAGCAGAACAGTGTCAAAACTGCCCCGGACATTTTAACTTTCCCTAATGAAGGGCACGATGGTACCTCCTCCCCAATCCATATACGGAAACTAGCAGACTAGCAACTGACTCTTACTTGGACACTGGTAATAGAATAATGTGCACAACTACCTCAGACAGCAGAAGCAGCCGTCTATTCCTTTTCAACCCCTTGATCTGTTTTTATTTATTTTGTTGTTCTTCTATTGAGTAGAAGGCACTCAATCTGTCTTGAGACTCTTAAATAGCCTGCCTTGAATGTGGTGACCTTCTGCTCCCTAGTGGAAGGGATTGCCTATGTTTTTTGTTGTTATTTTGTGATTTGGATAATCTGAATCTGAATTTCAGACCTTAGTGTATGAAAATACTTCTAGTGAATATTGCCTTTATTGTCCACCCTCGTCTCGTGTTCTTGCATTGCTTTTAAGTTCAGAAGGTTGCCTTGCTGTAAACCTAAGGCAACCAGGTGTATTTTGCTACCTGAATATGTTCCCTTCTCTCCACTAGATGTTGCCTTTCTCAATTTTATATGTCTGGTTCTACGTAAATGTGTTATAGAATTTATATGCATTTTATGTGCTGTATGGCACCACCGTGTGCTATTTTGTGAGCAGCCTAAGTCCCTAGGGGGGAGGGTGGTGGGGTATAAATAAAGTTGTTGTTGTTGTTGTTGTTGTTGTTATTATTATTATTATTCTGACACAAAACCACAGTATGTCACAGGAAACGAGATATATATGCTGGATTTCGTATCACAAAATCACAAGTCGAACACTTCCCAGGCATCTAGGACTGTGTGATGTATTTTCGAATTATTCGCGCAGGTTCAAGTAAGGTGGCCTTTTGCAGTTGACAGATCATGATTTTGTCATTATTGTTGTTGTTGTTGTTGTTGTTGTTGTTGTTGTTATCTCAAAGGTGCTACAAGATTTCCCAATCAAAATAGTCCTGTTGAATCCATGGACATTTTCAATTTTGTAAAGTTACAGTTGGGACTAACGATTAAATTTAGGCCAGTATTTCTAACTTCTTCTTATACAAAGAGCAAAGAAAAGCCCACTGAAGTCTCAACATGTGCCTCTCTTCTCCCAGCATTTTGCCAAATTGCTTGCCAGACCAGAGAGATTCACACAGCTTTGTTTTCTGAAACTGCTGACAAGTGTTGTCTGGAGCAGTAAGAATATTGAGGACACTGGGAAGATGGTATCAAGCCTGGCTCAATTACTGTTCTTGTTTTGTAGACGGGCTCCCCAGAACAAGAAGGGTTCTTCAATCTGTTGAGCCATGTACAAGGAGGACGCATAGATGAGCAACGCTGCAACATTCAGATCGTGCACAGCAGCAAGAGTGGCTCAGATCCTGAGAAGAGTAAGTTCAACATTTACTGGGATGAGAGGGCTGTGTAAGGGGAGAAGTCCAGGGAGATCTTGCTTGGAGAATGCATCTTTGTAAGAGAGTGAGCAAAACTCTTGATCCTACCTCAACCCCAGATTATAGGAAGTTCACCTGCCTTTGAAAATCCAAGAAAGCTGGTGAAGTAAAGTATAGGAGTTTTACATGCTGGTCATAATGTTTTCCAAAGTCTGTATTGATTCATTTGTCCAAATTCAGTAGCCCACAGAAACCTTTTCATAAGCAATATTTTCCCTTAGCACTTTTTTATAGCACAGCCATGGCTTAGTTTGTTAATGGAGTTTGTTTCAAAAATTAACTGGACAAATAATAAAAGATGCTAAAGTAGATGAAAAATATGTGATAACCAAGAACATCACCCAAATGACTCAGTGTTGAGTACTGAGCACATGGCTGTGGTAATATTTCAGTAAGTAAAATTAATAGGCTAATGTAAGAAATATATCTTCATCCTGACGCATGAAATCTACTATAAAAGGAACCCATTCTGGTGGAGCAGAGAGGCCCTACATCTAGGATGGGTAAAATATGAAAGCACAAATTTGGGGAAGTTATTGTGATATTTGTTCAGAGCTAAGACTTGGTTTTTGTTGTGATGCATTTCTTTTGTATGTGGAGTTGAAATATGAATGAAAGTTCCCAGTTACTTTTCCAAAGGTTTAACTTTAAGAAGCCTTGGGGGAGATTTTAATACACTAGCCCTAAGAAGAGAGTAGGATAACTATTTCTAGAAGATATGAGGGAAGAACCAGTTCACTGAAGGATATAACCCTATAAAAAGAGTGCATGCAGTGATTTGATATCTGGATTTAAGTAGCAAACATGCCAATGGCTTGGGGAAAGGAACTAAGTTTCATTATAGGAATTCCAATGGGAAAGTTACTCAGGGTGCTGATCAAACCAAGCAACATCTTGGAAGATCAAGAGAGGACTTATGGGAAGATGAACAAATATCATTTAGACCCCCATCTACAATACCATTATAATGCAAATTGAACTGGATTATATTGAAGTGTGAACTCATATAACCTAATTCAAGGCAGTTCAAACTACATTGTATAGCAATGTCGATGGGGCTTAAGAGTATCCATTTAAATCACATATGAGTCAAGATAAGTTGATAATAGATGGAGAACGACACTTCAGGTCACTCAAACTAACTAGCTCAAGCATGGGCAAACTTGGGCCCTCCAGATGTTTTGGACTTAAACTCCCACAATTCCTAACAGCCTACCGGCTGTTAGGAATTGTGGGATTTGAAGTCCAAAACACCTGAAGGGCTCAAGTTTGCCCATGCCTGATCCAGCCGTATTACTACTGCCTGTTGTTAGATATTCTTCAATCTTCAGTGTTAAACATTGTTGGACTTCCAACATGCTATTGTAGAAAATTTTGATTACCATTTTATCAGATGGATAGTTTGTTGTGTATGTAGAACATCTTTATATCTTTAACATAGAAGATGTATACAGCTATCGTAATGGAGTGGGATGCATTCTGGCAGTTCTGAAAATGTGGTCTGTGAGACTTTCTTCTGGGCTTTTACAAAACCAACTTATTGCATGAAGGAAAAGTGACTTCATAGAACAATGTTAGGCTAAGAACAAGGTGCTCGCTATATGAGAACTATGCACTATTCTGATAAATCGTTAAATACTGGTTTCTCAGTGATTTCAACGTGACTGATAACACTAAGCTTGTTGCACCACAAGTCCATGATATCTGGGGGGGGGGGGTCATTTCCTAGCCCTTTCTTTTAGTAACGGGTCCTAGTGCATCCTTTTTTCTCAAGGCCACGTTGCTTCTTCCTTACAGAGGATAGCCCCAGCCCACCACCAGAGATGGACAACTTTATGGAAATGCTGGCACAAACACAGAGCCGGCGGATGGATGATCAACGCGCTAACTTTAACTACCTCCCAGGCTTCCAAAACACTGACCGCAATAACAGCAACAAACCAGCCTCTGGAACCACAAAGGTGAGGGAAGATGAAAAGATGTGAAGGGAGAGATGAAATTCTTATACTTCAGAGTTTAGCAGAATTACCTCTTTAGAACAGAACTTCCAGGAACTTGCACCTGGATCAGCGAGCTTTAATCCAAAATCCCCAGTGTGTTATATTGGTCACAACCTCTTCACACACCTTCAAAGGCTGGAAACATTTGAAATGTATAAACACTATAGTACTGCGCTTTTGGTTGTATCATTTTGAAACATTTGCACTACACTTCCTCTATAAAACCAACAAGAGGCTTACATGCATGAATAAAAAACATACAAAATGCTTTTGAAATATTTAGAAAATATTAAAATTAAAATTATACTCACATTTTCAAATTGACATAAAAATAAAACTGTAAATACTCTGTATGCTTGAGTTGTAGCCGAGTTTTTCAGCCCTTTTTTTAGGCTGAAAAAGCTCCCCTCAGCTTATACACGAGTCAATATTATTTATTATTTTACTCTGTTATTATTATTAAATTTATTATTTTATTCTATTTATTATTATTACATTTACATTATTTTACTTCATTATTATTTATTTTATTACATTTATTATTTTACTCTATTATTATTATATTTATTAGTTTACTCTATTATTGTTATTATTACATTTGTTATTTTACTCTATTATTATTATTATTACTACATGTATTAGTTTACTCTATTATTATTACATTTATTATTTTACTCCATTATTACTGTTATTACATTTCCATTATTTTACTCTATTATTATTATATGTGTTGGTTTACTTTTTAATATTATTGGAAGGATACGTAAGCAAATTTACATTGAAGAAGATTAGAATAATGGTTTAATCAGAGTTGGCCAGTCTTATCTTAAATTACAGTTTTATGTAAATATTCAAAAACTTTGAACCTACTGATGCCTCAATTAATGTAATTTTATTGATACCTATTTTTATTCTGAAATTTACCAGCTGCTACATTTCCCACCCTCGGCTTATACTTGAGTCAATACATTTTCCCAGTTTTTTGTGGTAAAATTAGGTGCCTCGGCTTATATTCAAGATGGCTTATACTCGAGTATATACGGTAAATCCCACAAGCCATATAAACATTCACTACCTTTTCCTACCTCGTTGACACCACCAACAAGCTATTTTGCAAGCATTACAGAAACCTGCAAACCTTCTTCCTTGGAGACAATAACAAAATGTGCATGAATTTCAAAAGCTATAGCCATTTCAATACCCTGAAAGAGTGTTGTCTCAAGCATGAGAGACAATTATTTCATCTGCACCAGTCAAAACTAAAAAGTAATTCTTTGGTGTGTTACCACTAGAGGGCAGTGTTGCTTGCCTTCTCTGCCTAAGCACCACAAAAGAACTCCTATGATACCAACCTGGGAAGATCTATTCATCGATCTGGAAACTTGGGGATTACGTCCCATTGATCTCTGAAGGACAGCCTAACTTGTTTGTTTTAGTGTTTCTGTCCATGGTCTTATCATGAAGATCACTACTATTTTCATTTAAAAGACCAAAACAATAATTGCTATAAAGACCACTCAGGACATGACAAGACTGGGTGCGAATTGTCGTCTCCCAAGACACACCGTACATTATAGTTTTCACGAGTTACAGTTTAAAAGGTAAATGCTTGCAACAAACTATGAAACCGTGTCTAGAGATCCCCATCCTTGTTCATGTGCCAACAATTACCTGGCTACATGTCAAGATCTATGGTCCCCATGCCTTCTTTTCCTGCAATAACACAGGTTTTTGAAGCCACCACGTATTAACTAGAACCAATGTTGTGTAGTGGTTTGAGCGTTGGGTTATGACATTAGAGAACTGGATTCAAATCCTCGCTCAGCCATGGAAGCCAACTGGGTGTCCCTAGAAAGTCGTACTGTCTTGGCCTCAAGGGAAAACAAAGGAAAACCCCCTCCGAATAAATTTTGCCAAGAAATACCCTCAGTAGGGTCCTTTTAGTGTCCCATCAAAGCTATTTATTTATTGTATCAGGGGTACAGCTGTAATGAATTTTAAAAACACAAAGTTTAAAAACTAAATGTCCTTTGACCAGTAGCTGCCCACTTGGAGTGCCTCTGGTGTTGCTATAAAAAGGTCCTCCATTGTGCATTTGGCAGGACTCAGACTGCATTGTAATAGGTGGTCTGTTGTTTGCTCTACTCCACACTCACATGCCGTGGACTCAACTTTGTAGCCCCATTTCTTAAGGTTGGCTCTGCACCTCGTGGTGTCAGAGCACAGTCTGTTCCGCGCCTTCCAAGTCGCCCAGTCTTCTGCATGCCCAGGGAGAGTATCTTATTTGGTATCAGCCACTGATTGAGGTTCTGGGTCTTAGCCTGCCACTTTTGGATGCTCGCTTGCTGAGGTGTTCCTGTGAGTATCTCTGTAGATCTGAAGGCAAAACTGACTTGAAGGCACACAAGAAAAATAACAATATCATATAACAAAGACAAAAATCTCATTTTCCACACCAGTAACCATTTGTTTTTATATGTGTACTTAAATCATCTTTCCCACTCCTAACATGAATGTAAAAGCTTCCTTGATCGAAATATATATTTCTTCTGAATTACTACTCACTTTGGTGCATCCCGGTGTAATACAAAGAACTCAAGAGGCATGGCAAAAATGCTTTATAATCTAGGAGTGATGGGAATTTCCACAGATTTGCTTGCAAGAGTTATATTAAAAGCAACAATGAAAAATCAGCAATCTTGATCATTCAGGATATGCATTACAGCTATGGATTATTTCCACTTTTGAAATATTTTAGATCAACTCCTCTATTTCCTTATCTATATTTTCCAATCCTCTCTAGCAAAATAATCACCAACGTCTTCCACTACGGAAGAAGGAACTGATAAGACCACGAAGCACACATTCCACAGAGCAGAGCACATTCCCACTTACAGGTCCACACATATAAATATCATGTTTATGATGAACCCCTTTTCTCCCTGTCTTGATGGAAATTATTAATCTTACTTGTTGTCTCTTCGACAGACTGTTACTAACTTTCCCATGATAGAGGTCTTCATAATTCAACAAATTAACTTTCTGTTTCTTTCCTTTCCTGTGTTTTCTAACCAGATTAACCTAAGGACTTGTTTGTGCTTTGACTGTTTCATGTTTAGGGTCTTCGAGAGAAATTTGGCAAGGCAGAACAAGACTGCTTTCAGAATGGAGGATTTGGAGTGTGCATGGGGGGGGGGGGTGCTCTCAAAATAGAGCAGAGTTTCTCAACCTAGGGGTCAGTATCCCTAAGGGGGGGGGGGTTGTGAGGGGTGTCAAAGGGGTCACCAAAGACCATCAGGAAACATGGGGGTTCTGTGTGGGAAGTTTGGCCCAATTCTATAGTTGATGGGGTTCAGAATGCTCTTTGATTGTAGGTAGGTGAACTATAAATCCCAGCAACTACAACTCCCATATGCCAAGTCTATTTTTCCCAAATTCCACCTGTGTTCACATTTGGGTATATTGAGTATTTGTGCCAAGTTTGAGCTAGATCCATCATTGTTTGAGTCCAAAGTTCTCTCTGAATGTAAGTGAACTACAGCTCCAAAGCCCAAGGTCAATGTCCACCAAACCCTTCCAGTATTTTCTCTTGGTCATGGGAGTCCTGTGTGCCAAGTTTGGTTCAATTCCATCATGGTGGAGTTTGTTTGTAGGAGAACTATACATCCCAGGAACTACAACTCCCAAATGACAAAATCAATCCTTCCCCATCCCCACCAATTTGGGTGTATTGGATATTTGTGCCAAACTTGGTCCAGTGAATGAAGATATGTCCTGCATATCAGATATTTACATTACGATTCATAATAGTAGCAAAATGAGTTATGAAATAGCAACAAAACTCATTTTATGGTTGGAGGTCACCACAACATGCAAAACTGCATGAAGGGGTAGTGGCATTAGGAAAGTTGAGAACCACTGAATTAGAGGATTTAAGGTCCAAATGGGAGTCTATAAGAGGGGTGGTTTCCTGATTACCATGTGAATGTGAGCTATGATCAATAACCAGAATTCAAAAGAACAAGTGAATGCTAGAATGATTAATTCATTTTATAGGGGGAAATAGCCAAGAAAATATCTAAAGAGCAACTTGCTTGCAAACATAATGCAATAGAAGGGGATTGTGGGTTGTTTTTTTTTAGGAAATTCATGGGCCCCTCCTTGGCTCTCCAGTCCCCAAACCAATGTACTGGGTGAACCTCCCTTGACCCTGATCATATCATAAAGAGTCTGCTCCAGGCTGGGATGAATATCTACAAAACTTCCATGTGAAGTGAGCATGAGACAGCTGCATGAAGCCCCTAAAAATCTAGGAGCACTTTTTAGGGACAACCAAAGAAGGGTGAACTTGAGGTTTAGAAAAGCGACTAGATCAACAGCTGAACATGAGTCCAAAAGGACAGAGGGAGATTGGGTATTTCCAGCCATTACTCTGATTGCTGTTTTGATGCCCATCAAACAAATTAGGCTGGGAGGCAATTTTGTTGATATTGAAAGGTGGGACTAGATTCTATAAAGGGAAATACAAAGGCAACACTACCACCACCCTCTTTTCCTGTGTGTTTTACTATCATTATGGCAGGAAAACTGGCCATGAATTTTGGGTTATGTTCTCAATCCCTTGCTTTAGCTGAGCCAATTAATATGCTAAATACTTTGGGGGGGGGGGGTTCCTGCCTGGGTATTGGTGGTGCTAGGGTCTTATGAGTTATGCACCACAGGAAGTATTTCCAGGGCCAGATGAGCTACTGGGCAGCATGGAGTCTTCATGGATGGATCCAACATCCTCCATAGAAGACTCTCCATGACTGCCCACTAATATTATGGAAGAAACAGCATTTTCTTGTCCATGCCCTGGTTTCTTCCTCCCAACCTGATATAGGAAGAGAAGATGTCCTTAGCCCAGTTTCTGATTTGCAGTATAAGGAAGGTTTAGAGGTCGTTTATAATGCCCCAGCCTC